CTCCCCCCCCCCCCCCCCCCCCCCCCCCCCCCCCCCCCGGCCCTTCTTCCAGCTCTTTACTCCCCATTATTGCTCCATGAAATGACGTTTCTGCTCAAGCATCTTTAAATTTTAATTGGACGAAAGCGTCGTTGGGGATAGCAGCTCTAAGGTTGTATAATTCCTGGATGAGTTTTAGAAGCTTCATAGTAACGAGTAACTACTGGAACTTATTGAACAAAGGAACTAGTATCGGTAACTAGTCGAATGAACGAATAAAGGTAAAGGCTTACTTTTACTTCGTAACGATCACAACCCTGGTTGTCTCATCATACATATGGCACCTGAACCTTGCCAATCCTAAATAAAAATATTTTTTCTTTTTTTTCGCGCAGCTGGTATAAAATAAGGGGATAACTTCTAATTGCAATTGCGGGATTGTTTAACAGAATAGTCTCATATCTTGCATGGTAGTGCCTGCCAGCATGGGGTTTTATCTTCTGGGGGAGTCGAGTCCGCATCCATAGACCATGGCCTCTTGACGTCCTAAACGTTTCTTATTTTCTCGAACCTCTGCATCAAAGTTTTCACAGCTGTTGTCTCCCGGGACCATTGCTCAACCCCATTGCTGTGAGATAGGTCCGCATGACACCTGTTACAGCTGGTTGACGGACTCCTCCCCGGAAGAAAATTCCAGCAAGATTTATTCCCCAAAGGGAGATCCCCAAGAGGATCTTACCCAGTACGATCCCCGAAGGGCACTTTCCTGACGGATTATTTCAAGAAAGGCGAAATCCCCAACGGAAAATTCCACCTGTCTCCAAATGGCATCGAACTTCTTCCATCCTTGCTAGTTCCTTGAGGCATTGGAATGTAGCTATGAGATGCCTCAGGAATACCGCAAAGAACTCCGTGAATATTTTTAGAACAAGCACGTGGAGAGGAAATGATTGAATGGACTTCGACATCGACAATAAGAACGACTAGCTGTTCCCCGTACGACAAACTACAGCCCTGATTTATCACGTATAACACAAAAGGGGGTCAGTGCCATTTCTGTTTAAAGTGACTACGTATATCTACTACTGTACAATGTTTTTCACTTCAGTTAGACAATTTTTCACTTGACTAAGACACCGATGCGAGGGGTATTCAGAGATGAGACGAGGGCGCAGGTGCCCCTGGTGACTAGCGATATCTTTCTCTTCCTCGAACATTTAGGCTTTTTCATATGAATCAAACTATGTACTGGAAACGATGAACCGCATGCATAGCCATGTTGTCAACGGGAGACTTTCCTTGCAGTCTATTTAAATAAAAAGGCTCTAAGTTTTCAATTTCTCATCGGCTCAACGATGTAGAAACACTGGATCGAACTTCGATGGATAATCCCAGATCCACGTTTGATAGGCTAGCTTGCGTGAGTTTGGCGTGGTGAATGACACTTCAGAACCCAGGAACGATGCCCAAAACTTCACTTGTTTTATTTAAATACTAAGGAAAACAGTAATGGGTGACACGAAAGTTTAGTTTTTCACTACGACATTAAATCATCATTTCAATATATTGTGCATTAGGGATGGTTCATATTGATTTTCCTCTCTTCAGCAGGAAATTAATCATCGTTGTCGCCAATGTCATCACGACATCTGTACTTAAGAATGGAATTCCTAGTTTCTGCGTCGATCCGCTACATCACACTCACCATGCACTGTTGTCGAAGTCAAGTGAAAAACACTGTAGTATACGGATCGTGCCATAATTCTCTTCATCTCATAAACTGTCCCAATCGGTTCTAACTTCGAAAAACGGAATCCCAATGGAAACACTCTAGAGAGCTTGTGGTTAAAATACCCATCAAGTTTCCGTTTTTTGTTAGTTCAGCAACTCTACATGGGTCTTCTTTCAATGCACGGGCCCAATGGAAGGAGAACAAAAATAAAGGCATCCATGGCAAGGAAAGAGCGGTCTTTCTGCTTGTAATACCTTATAGAGGGAAGAACACACTTTCGAAAGAAGTGATGGAAGTTAGCTTTTCAGTGTAAAGCGGATAAATTTCAGGTCGTATAGCACGACGCTCGGAGGCATGGTACGAGATACGAGTACCATACTCGTAACATTGTCACGACTTTGCGCGTAACTGTCTTTCGTCAGATCGAAACCGTTATTTACGTTAACGTGATTATGTAAAAGTAGTCTGGAATATAGTTTAGTGCAACAGCGTTCAGACAATTTTAGGAGTTTTATCGCACTGAAATGGAATGCACTTGGGAGAGGAAAGGATGCAGAGGCAGACGCCTCCCCAGTGACAAAACCGTAGCTGCGCCTCGCTGAACCTATTACTGTATTTATCGGTTTGTTCTACGTCTTACTACAAACATGGACATACGTGGCGATGAAAGCGTGAAAGCGATTTGGTAACCTTTTCCTCCTCAGCAAAAATCGACGAAGTAGATGCTACTTACCTTCAGGAAGACTGTTCGGTCGGTTGACGATACGATAGGCTGAATCCCCGTGGTAGAAAAGGACCAGGGAGAATAGGAGAACAGCGAACATGGCAGACTGGGGCTTCGCCTCTTAGTAACTTGCGTCAGGAAACCTGGAACAAAAGGATCCCTCACTCGACGAGCTGACCTCTCCTGTCACGAGATAAGGACTTCCTGTCCGTCACTCTCACATCAATCTGATTGGAAAGAAAGTTCTCGGAATTTCTTGAATAATCAGTACAANTATCGTATCGTCAACCGACCGAACAGTCTTCCTGAAGGTAAGTAGCATCTACTTCGTCGATTTTTGCTGAGGAGGAAAAGGTTACCAAATCGCTTTCACGCTTTCATCGCCACGTATGTCCATGTTTGTAGTAAGACGTAGAACAAACCGATAAATACAGTAATAGGTTCAGCGAGGCGCAGCTACGGTTTTGTCACTGGGGAGGCGTCTGCCAGGGCTGTAATAATATACGGTTGTATGCCGAAGGACACGACCTATCTGATTGGAAAGAAAGTTCTTGGAATTTCTTGAATATCCAGTACAATTTTCTTCCAGAGCATGCTAGAGTGTTCTGCGTATGTTTATAAGTAGGTCCATGAAATTCCGAGAACTTTCTTTCCAATCAGATAGAAGAACCAGTCAGTGCTGGAATGATTATCAGTGAGGGAGGAATGCCTCATGAATATGGTTTCCAAATAATTTCCAACTGAAAGCATGAAGTATGGAGATTTGTATAAAGTGGAAATCCCCGTAACAAGAACAAGTTACACATGGATTTCGTCAGCCTTTTCCTTGTACGACATATTGCAGCCGTCAAACGCTTGCATGCATTCACTGCAAGACACTATTCGCCGCTAAACACTGCAACATTTCATACGACACCGGCAGCAGACAGTAGACGACAGGAATGACTATGTATCTCTTTAGAACGCCGAGTATGGGTAGGAAAGAGCGGAAAAGGAGACAGGAGATTCAGGAATATTCCATTCACAAGACGACGTTGGTTCTGATCTGTTCTTTGGCACCGAACCAGAGGTTTCCCGGGGCCCGGGGCAGATTATCACCGATGCCCCCCTGCCCCCCTCTGGGCTGCCCTGTACCGAAGCCCCAAAGTTGAGTCATATAGGGGTGTAAGCAAACCATCTCACAGCTAATCGAACAAAGACGGCTCCAGAAACCGGGACGAGATGGCGCTTAAAATCACCGTAATAGTAAATCAGTCACTGAACAAGGTGATTCCAGCCCAGAGTTTTGAGGGAGGATGGTATTACTAGCTTCCTTAGGCTCATTCTCGACTTAGTTCTCCTCAAAAATTGTTATACTTATCAGTGCAATCTTGACCTGACCTGTCGAAGGAAAACAGGTCTACTCATGATGGAACAAGATGCCCTTGGGTATTTTAAGGACTATGTTGGAGTCGCTTATTCTAGCTGGATATGGACTTACATACGCCATTAGTTAGTGACCTTCCAATATTTATAACTTCGGAAGGAAATAATACCCCATCAAAGGACCATAGAGGAAGGATGGTACTCTGCACACAGAAAATTCAGTGCCTCAGTTCGATGCATTTTTCTCGCGAAAAAATCTGTCCTGCATGTGATGCGTCTTTATCGCATCGAATTTTGGATGTAAGTAAGCGGTTACATGGGAATCCCTTCGAGACGCACTCGCCACTCGCACGGATCGGAGGGAAGGTGAAGTGGCGATGAGGCCATGCACTCAGGCGGTTGCGGGTGAATCCCGCGGCTGTCAATGCATTGCCCCGAGGGTTCATGGGGAGGAGGGGAGGGGGGGGGGGGGCTTCCTCGGCAGGACGAAGTGGAATACGGAGGTTAACAAGTGTCTAGACGATGCAGTGCCACTCAAAACACCCTTCCGACTCGGCTATAGACGCATTTTGGTTCTGCGAACGTCTTTCAGGCGATCCTGCACGGTCGGGGAGCGAGAGATATAAATCGAAAATCCAGTTGATGTCTTTTTCTCTTGAGAAAAAAAAATCGAAACGCGAAAACTGAGAGAAGTATTTTATCTTGATTTACGATTTCTCTGAGTGTGGAATGATACTCACACCTCGCCCATGTGAATATGATAGGTACATTTTTAACATAGAAATTTGTGAAATGAATGAACCATCTCCCCAAAGTACGTATACAAGATGAAGTAGATGTAATTTGATCTTTTCAAAGGTGTCCATTCTAGGTTTCGAGGAAAGTCGGTTTATAACTGATTTATTTTCGCGGCATATGCAGATTGTCAGCAGTGAGTTGCAATTGGCGCGAAGAAGGGCCAACAGGATAAGCTCGACTATTTTCCGGCTTTTGTCATTTTTAAGTCAACTATCTTTTTTGCTCTCGCTCGGCTATAGCTTATGTATGATGAGTCAACTCTAAACCATTGATGGCCTGCTGAAAAATTTCTGACTGGGAGACATGCGATGCTATCGGTCGCAACTTCAGCCCCATCGATCCCTCGAATCTTTCATTATTCCGCAGGCAGACGAATCGATCGACGATCGAGGGAAAATATTATGAGTGAAGGCCTGGTTTCTACGGCGCAATCTGGAACAGTTTGAGACCTTTTTCTTTAAATAGGCTAAATCAATCAACGACGAGTCAAGGTGAATACAAAAGCGATCGAGAACCAGCTGGGGCGAGAATAGCTAGGACAATTGAAAAGCGATTAATCATATGTGTGTAATTCTATTTCCGTCTTGAATTGAGGTGCCCGGAAAATTTCTTGAATCACCCGAATGTGTCCGCATACACTGAAAGTGAGTCCGCCTCCCCTCAATAAATTAGGCTGATCTTGCGTTGTTAATAGCAGCAATTATTCATTATCTGAGGGAAATGATGGCAAAAACCGCATTGAGCACATGAAGTAGCGTGAAAACCACTTTCAGAGGATTTCACCTCTCTTCAACCCCTCCCCTCTTCTGCTATTGTGAGAGTTTTCACATCCTCGATGCACGACCCAAAATCACTGAACCATAACTAATTACGATTTATCAAAATAGACATCGGGACCTACCTCGGTCTGATCCGCGGTTTTCAGGTTGCCCAGGCAACACACCCACGTTGGGCCAACGTAGGGACTATATTGAATTCTCATATATGCGATGAGGACCCCACGTTAGGAACCAACGTTAGGCTTGTTCCTCGGCTCAAACCCTCCCTTTGAGCCAACATCAATTTACAGTCCATATAAGGTTAAAATTAATCCCTGACGTGCGACGTGGCTTCAGGCGCTGAGGAGAGGCCTGGAATAAGTTACTATATTTGTAAATGACGTGCTCTTCTATCGGGGACCTCGTCGCCGAATCTCTTCGGTCTGGCTACTAGTACTAACCCCCTCGTTGCCTCATCCTGAGCCCGAATGCATAAACATTATTTAGGGCAGATAAAGGGCCTTTACCCTTTTACTCCCATAGGTGTCCATATTTTTTTAAAGGACCGTTAGCTAAAGGAGGTTTCCGCTTTCCGACTTAACTTTCCTCATGGGATTAGAACCCTTCTGTGCTTCCATCCATTGTTCATCTGGCTCCTTTCCAGCTTTGGAAGTGCATATCATGAGATCCTGTAAGTGGTCTCTTTTCCCACACCTGAATCCGCATTCTCGATGAAGAGCATGTCTGACCATTAGTTTCATCCCATCGAGTCAGGCCCCTAGTAGAACCATCCTTCCTCCATAATTTTGAGGAGTCTTTCTGGACTCTTTAACCGGTATAAACAAGTGCCTTGAGTAATTCGAGTGTCTTCCTTTACTTTGGCTGTGGAGAAAAGACCAAGTACCATATGAATCGTACTGGGAACAAAAAGCGAGTCACTCTGATACGATTGAAATCCGGCTTTCTGGCGCTATCTTCCATCGATTGGAGGAACTTTCTTTGTTCAAATAAGCGAGACAGTTGCCTCGTCCACATATAGGACAAATATTAACCGCCACACTAGCGCGACGTGGGTCCTACATTTTCAACCCAATGCGATGTTGGTCCACTCACAGCCAACGTGGATCTAACGTGATGTGTTGCTCTGGGGCCAACCTTGTTTCGTTCAAAAGAATCTCATCCCTCGACTAACGGGCCAATTGGGTCTGTAGATGGTCTATCTCGTGGTTTTCGAGACAATTCTGTGCGGAGGGTAACGTTTGGCCAATAACGGATCTATTTCGGGTTTCACGAACCATCAACGTATAACGTTAGGCCTAAAATTTCCCGAAATGCATAGGCATATCGACATGGATGTCTGTGGACAGACCTCCTCCGACATTCAAATAAATTTTGTATGCCATCAGCAGGGATGTCCAGGCACGAGAAGTTCATATCAAACCACATCGATGAGCAACGGCTAATCACTGTTTCAATCTCACTTAATTCCATGAAAACAGCATGAAAACGCATCACACATTAAAAACGGGAGATCCAGATACCGATACGAAAGAGAAAGCAGCCATGAATCTGACATAACTCCAGCCCGATCCGGCAACCGTGAAAACGTGAAATCCGACAACCGTGGGGGACGGGATTGGAGCCCGCACGATAAGCCTAAATAAACGACAGCCAATTTAATTTTTCACAACGAAGTGGTGCATCGTCAACTACGGGAAGAGCACGTATCTCGCTCTAAAAGGCCATATCTTCTTTTTTGTTAGGCTCTCTCCTCCGAAACCCCCCAGGTGGAGCTACCGCGGTAAGGGGTGAGAGGGGAGGGAAAGAAAAGATAAGCAGAAATGAAATTCACATATTCTAAAAAAACGAGATTCCATTCCCCGCCTTCCTGGGGAAATGGAGCTTCAAATTTGCTGGAGAGATTCTGCACGGTGTTCGTAAAAAATGTAATACCCTAAATTAGCGAAATGGAAAGCAGCATACAATTGCTGCAGCTGAAACTTATTTGTCATTGAAAAGAGATTTAAATTCTGGAATGAAAATCAAAATTTCGTCCAGATTCTACGAAGATTCACCCAGTAGCAGTCATTTAAAAACGATATAAAAAAAAATAAGCCGCGGCAGCGATTCCTCCATGCTTGCGTCGCTAAGCTACTAATCCACGAGTTGGGTTTCCTGTAGTGAGAAATATTTTGAGGAATTCAATCGTTTCCCCCTAAGGTTCATGCGGGAAACGATAGGGAACCGTACGAAAGGTATGGGGAACTCGCTCCAGCAGGATCATCAAGTGACTCGCAACAACGACGTCGACGCCACCTCGATTCAGTTTTGGGATTTTCGTTCAAGTAGCCGTCAAACGGCTTGCCTGCAGTCCCTATATGACTCAACTTCTGGGCTTCCTTGTTTGACCAGCTGCACGCTGCTGCCAAGTGCCATCCAGCGAAGGGCCGAATGATGGGGCAACTGCGACACGAGCGTGACTAGGCTGACCTACTTACACGCCTCAGATAAGCCAACTTCCCCAACTGCGGATCGACTATTACCCAACAAAACTTCTCAACCAGGCCGGCAATTCAATGCGATTCGATGCATGAGCTACTGTGTATGCAGATCATTAACCACCAATTATATCCAGATTGAACCATTACCGTAATCACTCTGGCTGTGTGCTACGGTTGAAGGCCACGTGACGTGAACATTATATGGTGAGGCTAGAGTAAGAAATACCTGATATGTTAATATGCATCGGTTTCCGCAAAGTGAAATTGGTCTAACACTTTTTTTTTATGCCTTAAGGTATTATGCTGTATGGTCATAAGAGGATGAAAGGTAAATAGGAGAAATAACCTTGAGGGTGCCCCATTTGAAAGGGAGCCGTACAAGTGTGCCTTTTTTCATCCACCACATACCAAATAATACAGGAAGAGGTATTGTGATGATCGTGAGCGATCTGATGCCCATCACAACTCTCGGGAAATTTGCAGGTTTTGCAGGATGCAATAGGTTTGCTGCATTTTCAGGGAAAATAGCGTATATAAATGTTCACGTTGCTCGATTTTTTCAATATTCTTTTGCAGTTGACATGAAACCTCTCATCCACAGTACAAGGAAAGAAAATTACGTACTCCCATGAAATATCTGCTCGTGTAACTGCTATAGTGAGCAGATATAATACATTCGTATATACATTCTGAAGACTCAGCGTTGATGCACGGGTTACAGTTTGATAATACAGACAGAAAAAAAAATTTTAAATCGTGGAATCACTTCAGGAAAGAAAAAACGGAGATGAGGTGAACATTGAATGCGGAACATGGGATTCTTCAGATGGAAAACGCGCCACGCACTGCACATTTCGGACCACCACCGGTGGACCGTCCAAAGTAGAAGTTCACTTGGTCTCATGACCATTTCACGGATATTCGAGAATAACCTACTTCCCCACTTTGCCCCCTGCATTACCCTGCCCCGCCGCGCAAATGCGACGTAAACTCGTCAGGACCTTCCTACACGGGTTGGCATACGCACGCGCTCACGTTCCACTTCCCATGCCTATGGCCTTGAATTCCTGATTCTGATCTCGCAGCAGTCCTATCGATTTTCGTTATCAGCTACCAATCCTGCCACACCCCCCCCCCCCCCCTTCGTTCCTCTGTAATAGATCATGAAATCATGACTTGTCCTGAGCAGGATGGATGATTTTCATATTAAGACGTAGCCCGTAGGCTTTTCGGCTTTACCTTTTCTTCAACCCCTGCCCCCCTCATCTCCTGCCTTCTCCCCTCTCTACTAACGTCAGGCTTAGTCCAAGCCTACGCACCACATTCAATTTAGGTCAAGCCCAACCTTTTTTCGCTCAAAAGAATTTCAACCATTGACTTATGGGGCCAATTAGGCCAACAGGAATCTATCCCAGGGTTTTCGAAACATCTCGGTGAGGGCGTGGAATGTTAGGTCTATCTGGAGTTTCTCGAACCATCTCGACTCGGATGTTTGAGGACAGACTGTCTCCGAAATTCAAATAAATGTATGCCGTCATCAGCAAGGATGTCCATGCACGGGATGGCCACATCCCACCACAACGATCGGCCACCGCCAGTGGCGTAGCGAGGTGGCTGCGGGGGGGGGGGGGGGGGGGGGGGGGGCGNGGGGGGGGGGGGGGGGGGGGGGGGGGGGGGGGGGGGGGGGGAACTTCAGCCTCACAAGTTTTGTTCAACCCCCCCCCCCCTCACCAACTCTGGTCAAAATGCATCCGCCATCCCCCCCCCCCATTGGCGAAATCCTGGCTACGCCACTGGCCACCGCTAATCAGTTTCAATCTCATCTCATCCCATGAACTCAGCACAATAATGTAACATGCGTTAAAAATCAGAAGACCCAGTCACTGCCATGAAAACAGAAGCAATCATGAACCTGACATGACTCCAGCACGATATTCAACTGTGGAAGACGGATTCTACCCAGCCCCGAAGAGATGGAGCTTCAAATTTGCTGGAGCAATTCTGAGTTCTGAGAGTAAGAAGAATCCTCAGTTTCGACCCTCCAGCTGCTCTCAGAGAGGAATACGAAGAGTTGGAACTTTTTAACAGGATGGTGTTGAAGAGAGGGAATAGCCGCCACCAAAGCCTATCGATTAGGCCAACGGTCTTTCTTTCCTCTTTCCTCTTATTTTCTCGGCTCTTACATCCAATGCGTAACTACGTTCACTTCCAATTTCGTCTTCACGTTCGCAACCAGGCACAGGTAAAAGTATCCTCTGGGAAAGCAAAATATTCATGAGATGGCAGTCATCCCCTTCCCTTACGGAAGAAAGAAAGGAGAGGAACCCCGAGGGGTATATCATGACAATAACCCACAAAAATTACAAATACTAATACAATTTTTTTTATTTGGCTTTGAACTCTGCATGGGATATATACTGCATTTAAAAAAGGTCAAGGCATTGTGATATCAGAGTCCTCGGCTTGAATCAGAATTAAAGAGTTGATGGCACTCATTCTGCTCTGCATAAGAATGTAGGAATCGGAATTCATCGATAGGAATGGGTAGTATCGATAGTTGGATAGAAATCCATCACAGTTCGTTCCAATCCGAGAACGATTCATTCCATGTATCGTTCCCAGGATTGAGGTTGAAGATTGCAAGGCGTTGGCTCTCTCTGCTCGCTATAAGGCAATAAGTATTTCTCATTCTCTCCGTCAGATGTCTCTAAAATCAGGAAAAGTCACAACATGGAGTGATGACACACATCAGCTATGCACAATCTACACTCACTGTGGATTTTGCATTTTGTACGGTCACGTGCACACGCACACGTACACTCTCACTCTCTCACTCTGTCTCTCTCCGACGCACGCAGAAAGATTGAGAAGCCTCTTGGTTGGCGTGTATTGGGGACGGATGATGACGATCAGATGCAGTTGAATCGCCACACTAGACTGGCCAAGATCAGAAAGAGGGTGACGAGACCGGAATGGTGTCCACCGGCTGCGAACCGAGACCCTGATGTCGCCCCGTGACAGTGTTCCCCGTGTGGATAGGGTCCAATGCAGGCTGCGTGCGCCATCACGTGCGCTATGTAGGGCTGTTCGTGCAGACCGACGAAGAGATGCGACCATGGGCCTGGAATGGGAAAAAATTATCCATAAACTAAGAAAATAGGGGGAAGGAAATAAAATATGACGTTGGCTTTTAGGATTAAATGGTCGGACAATTAATTGGAATTTCACATCCGAACCACGTAAAAAAAAAATTAGGTCGAACACAAAACTTGAAGAATTTTTATTGGGGAATGATGAAATAACCTCGAGCAAAGACGGCGATGTCCTCGCCGCCGTGGGTTTCGGTGTCTCCGTCGCCACGAAAGACGGCCTGCAACTGATGATAGTCATCCCCTGCCGCCACCTCCTCGGTCACGTTTTCCCAGATCACCTGGCTGCTGTTGTTCGGGTCCACCTTGTACTTCCAGTATCCCCCGTTCGTGAACATCAGCGTCGTGTACGGCAGGTTTTGGATCTTGGAGATCTCCGAGATTCCTGTTCGTCGCAGAGGAGAGAGACTCGTCGACCCGCGTTCGAACGACACGGCGATGCGAGTCGATGCAAAAACTAGGAATTCCGCCACGACTTTCGACCCCAACCGTTGGTGCGTTCGTTTGGAAATATCCGCATGATAACTTCGCGGAAATGTGGGGAAAAGACGAATCCAATGACAGAACACGAGAGAAATCTTCAACAGAAAACTCGTATTTGCCGAGGTCCACCTTCCTCATCGGTTCTGGGCTGATTTCATGACCTTTTGTCGATTGCAAATCGAATTTACGACCTCCACTTTTGCTAAGCGAGTTCATTCAAACTTGTAGCATTCCCCACTAAAATGTAAGCTATAATTTGATGTTTCCCACGGGCATGAAATCACCAATGAGGATTTAGCGCCGCGCGATCTTTGCTCTCCGAAGGGCAAAGATGGAAGCCTAGAGGCTCATAAATATCATAACGGAACTTTCATTACATTCGTTTGTGCCAGTAGGCTGCAATTTAGATGGAACTTTAGGTGCAGTCCATCCGGATTGCACTCATCAATATTAAAAGAAGGGGATTGGACAGACGAGACTCATTCCAGTAACAGATGGCAATAGCAGCCTCACTTCTCCAGCAATATTACGGGGTTACCGGAAGTGCGGCATATGCCGTCGCACACGCTCGGGAATTTAAATTTCGATCAGGCTTTTCTAGCTGTCAATTGTATGAATTGTTCCGCGGTTGAGACGAAGGAGACGGCAGTTAAGCGTAACAATACGATTTCAGCGACAATGGGAAATTCTAATGTTTCGCCTGCGATACAATCGACAGTTCAATTCCCGCCGGAAGGCCAGACTTCCGTCATTCGATGATTGATGATGATTGATGAAAAGCGAGAAGAGAACGGAGAGACAATTTTTGTGTACTCTGTTCATCCTTGGATGAACAAATCATCAAGCAAATCCTGACCGAGAAACCGTATCTCACACTTTCAACGAAGCGTTTCTCTCTTGCCGACTTCTTCGTGAATATATCCAAATATTAAGACTGCAACATTACGTAACGCCCACCAAGCAGATGGAAATGAAGCGTAACGAAATACGCCAAGGCATTCTCGCCTCGTAATCTCGCAACACCTCATTCTCCGATATCGTGGTAGGTATCGCCACAGAACATGTCTCGTTTGTGATGAATTGATGTGGAATTGACGAATTCTCTCTTGAATTGATGTGGAATGTGTACGGGGCAAATATTTAAATTTCCATTGCACCCATGGCAATATGAAAGCAATCACTCCACGATTGGACTCTCATTTGTTGACACACGTTTTCGATGTGATCCAGGCACTTGCCCTCCGTCTTGCACCTAATTTTCCTCCAGCGAACTGCATCGCGTCGACAGCACATATAAGTCCCATCACAGAAAGAGAGTGACGATTGAAATCAGTACCGTGCCCAGGAAATCCGAATGGGGGGGGGGGGTTGCCATACGAAACACTGATTACCCATCCTAAAGGCGAGTTATGACCCCCAAAATCCCCCCTTGGACATGCAACTGATTGAAACTCTCGCAAAGGAATGGGACGTGGCGGAAGAGACGAGATGCAGAATTTACCCCCGAATAGGCGAGCTTTCACGGAATTCCCAGTTTTACCTCACCGAGAATGGGGTTCCCCCTCTTGGGGTATCCGTTGATGGTCATGACGTGCGAGTGATCGGCCGTGACGACGACCAAGGTCTCGTCCAATTCGGATCCCAGTTCTTCCATCGCCGCGTCCACGGCCTCCTCCATGGCCAAGACGTCCTCCAGCGACTTCTTCGCCATCGTGTCGTGGAGGGCGTGGTCGATTCTCGCTCCTTCCACCTGGAGTCAAAACGTCTTTTGATTCTCTCATAGATGCCGATGCGATGAGCGGGTGTTGCTCGAGCGGGTGTACCATGAGGAAGAATCCTGCCCGGTTCTTCAGATTTCGAATGGCGAATCTCGTCATTTCGGCGATGCTGGGCTCCGTCGTCTTAGGGTCTTTTTTGCGGTCCAGTTCGTACGACATGTGACTGTTGGCAAACAAACCTGGAAATACGCGCGAAATATATCGTGATCCGTGTTTTTACTCGAACGTACGAGTTTCTCGAGCCCTCACCCAGAACGTGGTCCTTCTTCTCGTTTCCGTCGACCACCATCTCTTCCTTCGTGGTGACGTAAGCATAGGAGCGCTTTATGGACTCCTTGTGAGCCTTCCATTCCTCGACGAGAGCTCGACCGTCTTTCCGGGCACACGTATCGTTTTGGTCCTCGGCTACCGCCTGGAACAGCTGCCGACCTCCTCCCAGGATCACCTATCGAGGAACTCAATCAAGTCTTCTGCAATTTCTTGCAATCTGCCTTTAACTCCTGGAAAGGGACCGAAGAGAATGACTTCACGTCATCTGCGCTTGCACGGTAAAAAGATGGATTACGAACGGGTAGGACCTCAACACGATTTTAATACTAGAATACTACAGTCGTATTCAATCATCTGTTACTAATAAGCAGGACATTGTGGACACCCTGTACAAGTGGGAGGAACATGGGATTTTTCATCGATAAATGAGCTAGCAAGAGAGCGAAGGAAGTGGTTTCTGCTCACTGCTTCCTATGCCTTCCTTACAGAGGGCGAAGTGAGATGTCAACCTTTTTAACCGTGTCGCCGCATCTAAGGTGGATTCTCTTTTACTAGCATAGCCTTTGTAAAGCCCAAAACCGATATTTGTAAGGATTTTCATGGATTCATGGCTGTGGTGCACTTTGAATAGCATCGACTCGATCAACATCGAACTCGTTCAAGTTCATGCCCTCAGAAAGTGATTCTTAAAACTATCACCCCTTCCCTCCCCCACCCCAAAAAAAAAAATCTGGAAGGAAGAAGAGCATTGTCTACATTCATGAGTTTCCCAGGTTCGTCCTCGACGAGCTGAAGGGCAATGTCTTTGCATGCTGTCGCATTCTCAGGCTTCTTCCCGTCGCATTCCCAGTCCCGATGAGCTGTATGGGCGTAGAGGGCACCAGGCGTGGCGTGCGTCACCCTTGCCGTCGTGATCAGTCCTAGGGAAAATGAACACGGAGAAGAGAATGTCTCAGTCCGAGTTTTTATAATTGATTACTTTGATCTCGGAGGAAAACAGACCGGTCTTTTTGCCGACTTTCTGAGCCCAGGCAACGATGGATTGAGGTTGTCGATCCGCGTTCTCGAGAGACGTCCCACAGTCATTGTGCAAGGTGTGGATATCGATTCCAAGGGTCTCGTATCGGCTCTTCACACCCGTGAAAATGGCGCTTGCGGTGCACGCAGAATCCGCTACCTGACGGTCCACGCAGTAGTTCTACGCCAAAAAAAAATTGTCATCTATCGAATAAATTATGGCAATTTCAACGTTATAACGTTTTAACGGTTATCGAAGTCGAGGGTCGAACGAACATCGGCCATTACAGGTGTCGTGACTTTGAAAAGTTATTCGGAAGGAGTTCCCCCTTCGTGACGCGCTAATGGGCCTGGTGGGGAGGAGCCATGGCCCGTCGCCGAAGCTGCTCGTTTCCGAACTCTTTTTCGCGGATCGATATTCTTTCTTTCTTTCTTTCTCCCTCGATCCGGATGTATCCGGCCGTTTCACCCGATTCCCCTTTTCTGGGCTTTGAGCAAGCTGCGAAACGAGGGCCTCGTGGAAATGTGATGTTAGTTTCAGTTTTGCCTTTGAAAACAATATCATCCTCTCTCGTTTGCCGATTTGCATGCATTTTCTGAAAGGAAGAGAGGAAATGCACGGTGCAGAGTTCGGATCAAGAACGAAAATGGCAAAACAGAGCATTTTGAAAAGTGCTTGGCATTTTTGTGAAACCGGTACTCACCCCTTCAAGGCACATCTTCACCTTAATTATGCAGCTGCCTTGAGTTTTTCGTGGTACCAGATTATGCAAAAAATGGAAAATGGAAAACGGCATTTAAAACGAAGTTCGGTGAAACGAAACAAGTCGGTTCCACTTACATCATCTCTGCTTACGACATTTCTTCTTTAAATTCAAATGAATGAAAAGTAATGCAAGACCTAGACACCCTCAAGGGATGAGCCCATTTCCGGGAGGCCTTGGTTTACTTCAGTCTTCGATGTCGTCTGTCCACTAAAATCAATGAGAATAGCTAGACTCTCTTGCAACGAGTTCGTAAGTCTTCTCTAAGATCGAGTCAGGAAAATGAAGGTCACAAATGCTGTTCTTCAACGGACTCGATCTTCATGCAACCGTTGTTATCCCAGCGTGAACCAACCACGGCCCCTCTATAGCACCAGGTGGAGTTCCTCCCTCCCCCCCCCTCCCCCCCCCCCCCTCCCGA